TGCTAGATCTAATGAATGCGGAATTTTGTATGCAAAAAGAAATTTTGAAAAAGGAAAGAGAGAGAGATGAAACAATCAAGAAAACTTTATGAGAATTGGTGAGTGATTAAGAGAGAATTAGAGAATTAATGATTGCGAATGAAAACTGATTGTAGGTGAATATTGATTAAAACTGATTGTTGATGAATGAAAACGGAGTTTAAATACGTAATTTATAGAGAAATTAGCCAAAAAGATAAAATATCAAAACAGAGCACTTGGCGCACGCAAAACAGAGCTGGCGCCAGAAACAGCTAATTGGCGCCAGGCGCCAATGGCTGGCGCAAGGCCTGGTTCCAGGCGCCATTGCCTGGAGTCAGGCGACAGGACTGTTTTTGACGCGTTTTCGAAAATCAGATAAGTTTGCCGTACTGGAGGATAAAATCGTATCTTTTCCTCGAAAATGCTCTTTGATTTTAATTAAAACTCTGAAAAATCAACAAAAGTCAATTTATCAATGCTAATTGAATTATGAATGAAAAGAACCTTCTAGAAGAATCTAGAAGACTAAAACCATTCCTAATTTCATTAGGAATGATAAATCATATTAGGCCCTCCCCAAGATCATTGGGCCGCATATAAGGCTCAAACCGGGCTCAGTTTGGTAAATTTGCCATAACTTCCTCAATATTCATCGGAATTGGGCTTATAATATATCGTTGGAAAGCTCTTGTCGAGCCCCATACAACTACACTACTTTTGGACCCATATCACGGACCAACCAAATTGGATTGGCTGTTTTCTTAAAATAAGTTTTCAAAAACAGAGAGAAGAGAAAAGAAATTAAAACTATCCGCAACACTAGACTTTCCACACTTTCGCTTCATTTGATTATGATTCGACGTGAAAGGTACTCATCACCGGGTTTGGTTTTGGGGAGACACAAATGGGTGTCTACACATATGAGACATTGAGACTAACTTGAAAGGTAAATTATAATAATATATGTTTACTAGATTAGTCTCGTGTGATGTACGATTCAAACAAATAAAATATTTTAAATTTGGTCATTTTCATATCTCAACATTACAAAAAAAAATCCCAAAATTAATAATACATACATCAAATTTTTTTTTTTTTTAAATATATAGAGCTTATAGAAAAATTGAATGATGAAAGGGGTATTAAGGAAGAGAAATTAAATTATTTAGATTGATTTTAATATACTGGTATTAATAATAATAATAAATATATAGCTAATCAAAATTTTAATTAAATAAAATAAAATTTGTAAAATAATGTGATCATGTATAATTTTGGAGGAAAAAAATTTATTAACAACTTGACATGTGTTTAGGATGATGTCAGCGGTTGTTATTTTTGTATTAACTAGATTAGTGTCCGTGCATCGCACGGTAGTAACAATTTCATAATTAATTTGTGATATAATATTAAAAAATGAAGCAATTTATATGAAATATACAAATGCAATGTGTATAAGAAAATTGAAATAATAAGGTCAAATTATTAAAATTAAATTGAGAAAAAAAAAATTATTATTGATTAGTTGTGTTGAAAATGTTTAAAAGTATTATACATTATATTGCATTAATGATGCATGTTTTTTCCAAAATAATTGAAGGAAATGTTTTCCGTAGCTTTCTCATTACAATTCACAGTAATTATATACAAATACAAAGCTTATCACTAGCCACTAATTAGGCTACAATTTAGGAAAAGACTATATAAAAAACTATCCTAGGCTATAAGTTAGGCAACATAATATTTACAATAACTAAGGATATATTATACTAATATATTCTTAACACACCCCCATAGTCAAAACGGGAGGAGGACGGACGCTTAGACTATCCTGAAAATCTTCAAAAAACACCCGTGGTAGTCCTTGATTGGTAAAGATGTCCGCTATTTGGTGCCTAGATGGAACATGGAGGACTCGAACTTCAACCCTAGCCACCTTCTCACGAACAAAAAGAATGTCCATCTCAATATGCTTGGTATGTTGATGGTGTACCGGATTACCGGATAGGTAAATAGAACTCACATTATCACAATATACCAAGGTAGCCTTCTTAATTGGACAATGTAACTCCAATAATAAATTACGAAGCCAACATGACTCAGAAACCACATTGGCCACACCCCTGTACACGGCCTCAGCACAAGACTTGGAAAGAGTAAGTTGGCATTTTGAGGACCAAGAAATCAAGTTATCACCCAAAAATACAGAGTATCCGGACGTTGAACGTCTCGTATCGGGACAACCACCCCAATCAACATCTGTATAGGATATAAGTGTAGAAGTAGATGAAGGATAAAGATGCAAGCCATGCTTAAGTGTACCTTGTATGTATCGAATGATTCGCTTAAGATCAGCCATATAAGTATCCTTCGGATCATGCATGTGTAAGCATACTTGTTTCATGGCATAAGATATATCCGGCCTTGTAAAAGTAAGATATTGCAGCACTCCAGCCAGGCTGCGGTACAAGGTTGGATCAGCAAAAGGGGCACCCGAAGTACTGACCTTCGGCTTAGCTTCAACCGGAGTGGTCGAAGACTTGTAAGAGATCATCCCTGCCCTTTCAATGATTTCCTCTACATATTTTCGTTGTGACAAATATAATCCACCCTTATGTCGTGTCACAGCAATGCCAAGAAAATAATTTAGAGGATTCAAGTCCTTCATAGCAAACTCTGCGCTAAGAAGGGACATAATAGAATACCTTAGAGCATCAGAAGAAGCTGTAAGAATAATGTCTTCAATATATAGTAATAAGTAAGCCACATTCTTGCCAACACGGTAAATAAAGAGAGAATTGTCACACTTGCTATTAGTAAAACCAATAGAAGCAACAAAGTCAGCAAATCGCCTGTACCAAGCTCTGGGTGCCTGCTTAAGACCATATAACAATTTCCGTAGTAAACATACATAATCAGGATGAGTCTGATCACGGAAACCAAGAAGTTGATGCATATAAACTGTCTCATTAAGCTCACCATGCAAAAAAGCATTCTTAACATCAAGTTGATGAATGTCCCAATCCTTGGATAAGGCCAAGCTAAGCACAGTACGGATGGTTGCCGGCTTCACCACCGAGCTAAAAGTATCCCCACAATCAATGCCAACCTGTTGTGTTTTGCCATCACCTACAAGACGGGCTTTATGCCTCTCAAAAGAACCATCAGATTTCACCTTATGAGTAAAAATCCACATAAAACGAATGACATTAACATCAGGTGGAAGGGACACCAACTACCACGTCTTATTTTTAATAAAAGCATTAAATTCATCATCCATAGTCGATATCCAATTCAGGTCACGTAAAGCAGAAATGGGGTTACGAGGTAAAGGAGATTTCGTAACACTAGATACCATAGTATTGAATTTTTTATATTTCGGGTTTGGTTTAACCATTCCATTTTTGCTTCCCGTGACAATAGAAGTAGGAGGGGGAGGTTTTGGGGCGAGAATTTGTGGGCTGGGTGAAAGAGTAGCACGTGGGCTGACTGTGGGTACCTCTCAATGGAGTTGTGGCTAATTGAACATGCCCACAATCCATTTGAGAGGCATTCTGCCCAACAGTAGCCTCGGTGCTATTGGGGTTGGTAGGAGAATTAGGAGAAGAGAGCTGAAGTTGGCTGCTAGGAGGAAAATCAGGAGGCGGCCCACTTCGATCTTAGGTTGGTGAAGAAAAAAACGGAAGTGGGTTGCTAGATGAGATGGCTGGTTGCGGCCCATTTCGGTTTGGAGAGGTTGGAGTGATGGGTGTGCTTTGCTGTAGGGTTGGATGAGATTCAGCGAGCTGCCCAACAGATTGCATATGGTGAATGGTATAAGAACTAAGACCATTGTCCAAAAAATCATATGTATGAGATTTTGGAGTATGTAATTTAGCAAAAGGAAACACATTTTCATCAAACACAACATGTCTACATATTATAATTGTTAGAGGACCAACTCAACCAAAAGTTTAAGCTGATGGTTGAGGCCCAGGAATATGCTTTATGCTCTATCACTCCTCCTCACATGAAAGACCCTTTGGGCTCGAAATGTGGATGCAAAACAGGCCCACCCATACCTGGTGCGAATTAATTCCACTTTGAAGGAGGGGCAGATGAGATTTGAACCCGTGACCTTTGTGTCACACTGGCTCCGATAACATGTTAAGCTTTTGGTTGAGGCCCAGGAATATGTTTTATACTCTATCAATGATTTTATTAGAAGATAAATCATAACACTTATATCCCCTATGATTCGGTGGAAATACCAAAAATACACATGGTGTAGATCGAGTTTGGAGTTTATTATTGGTAGTGGAAGGAAATAAGGGATAACATAAACACCCAACGACACGTAAGTGAGAGTAAGAAGGTTCCTTTTGATAAAGAACTTGGAGAGGAGATTTGTACTCTAGTAATTTACTTGGAAGAATATTATGGAGATAAGTTGCCATTTGCAAAACATGATGCCAAAAAGGCGGAGGTAAAGAGGCATGAGCAAGAAGAGTGCGAATTATATTGTTCAAGGATCTAATTTTTCTCTCGGCCTTTCCATTTTGTGATGAATTATGAGGACACGAAAGTCAAAAAGACATACCATTAGACTCACACAATGCCCAAAATGGTCCATTGTCATATTCCCTCTCATTATCACATTGAAAAGTCTTTATAGGTCGTTTAAATTGAGTACGAATATATTCTTGGAAAGCTAAGATTTTATCAAACACATCCGATTTTTTTGCTAAAGGAAAGGTCCATAAAAACTTAGAATAATCATCCAACACAAGCATATAATAACGATGACCCGATATACTCAAAACGGGAGAAGTCCAAAGATCACTATGAACAATATCAAAAGGCATACAAGTAGAAGAACTTGATGAAATAAATGGAAACTTAATATGTTTTCCAAGTACACAAGAATGGAAAACACTAGAACTAGAAGAGTGAGTACATTCAATGTGTTTATTATTACTAAGAGTTTTTAAAATAGAAGATCACGGATGTCCCAAACGATCATGCCAAATAGACGAAGCTAAAGTTGTAAAGGTTGATGGAGAAGTGCTTGATAAGGTGGTAGTGAGTGGATAAAGGTCCCCTTGGCTATCACATCTCATTATTGGCATCTCCGTCCGATAATCCTTCACAGAAAAACCATAAGGGACAAACTCAACATACACACAATTATCAGTTATGAACTTACGGACAGAAATCAGATTTTTAATGAGTTTTGGGGCATGTAGGACTTTAGAGAGAGACAAAGGTGGGTTTGGGGAAGGTAAAGTAGTACTACCACAACCACGAATTGGAATCGTATGACCACTACCAACAACGATATTATTATGATGATTGCTCAAATTAAAATAAGACGAGAGATTACCGTTGGTGGATGTCATATGAGAAGTGGCACCGGTGTCCATGTACCATGAAGGATCGGGTTGTTGTAGAGTCATAGTGTGGAGGGCCCCTTCAATATCCGTTGGAGCATAGGATTGTTGAGAGGCTGCATAAGCTTGGTGTGGACATGGCCCAAGAAGACCAGGCTGATGCTTTAGGCCTTGTGGACGAGCCCATCCTTGGGTAGGGAATGGACATGGGGGAGCAGCCCATTAAGAACCCCATACCCACGGATTGTACTGCCCCTGCTGCCATGGAGGAGCGAACCACAGCTGCTGCTGTGAGGGTGAGCCGCGGCCCGCACCGGAGGCTCCACCTGACGACTAACCGCTGCCGGAACCACCTGACGACTGACCGCTGCCGGAACCGCGACCACCACCGCTGTTTTGCTTCCCGCGGCCACCCTTATTTTTCTGATTTTTATGCTTCCCACGACCATTCCCCAAGCCTTCCGAGTCAGCATCTCGCGAATTAGCCACCATGGCTGAAGCCGAGGTCGTGGCGGCCCTTTTTGCCAAGCCCGCTTCTTCCAATGTTAGCATCGATCGGGCTTGGTAGAATTGAGGGAGGGGATTGCTTTGTCGAATTAACGTTGCAACCCCGAAATATAATTTTGTAAGACCGGAAACAAGCTGAAGGACAAGACGGTTGTTGTCCACCGAAGCTTCGACATTTTTCAGTTGGTCAGAGAGGCTCTTAAGCCTTTGAAAATACGCCGAGGCATCAGGAAAGTCCTCCATTTGAGTGTTTGAACTCATGTTCAAGAGTAACGGCAAGGGAGTTTTGATTGTCCTGGAATATGTCCTTCAACCTATCCCAAGTCTCCATTCCCGTTGAGTCAGGTTCAATTATGGTGTTCAAAAGGTCATGAGAAATGGTGGAATAAATCCACCCAAGGACAGCCGCATCCAACGTCGACCATGTTTCTTTTTCTTCATCTGTAGAAGGTGCGGGAACCTTCTTCTTCGGGGCAATAATATGATGAAGGACCTTTTGAGAACGAGCATGAACCTTGAATAGCTCCGTCCATGTAGAGTATTGTACATTCTCCATTTCGAGTGTGATGGGAATGACACTTTTTATGTTATTGACAGTCAGTGCGGGATAGAATTTGGAGTCCGACATGGCTGGAAAATAACATAGGAAAGGAAGAAAGAAGAGGAAGAAGAGGAGAAGAGGTGAAGGAGGGCGGAAGAGTAACCCTAGCAATCTGATACCATGAAGGAAATGTTTTCCGTAGCTTTCTCATTACAATTCACAGTAATTATATACAAATACAAAGCTTATCACTAGCCACTAATTAGGCTACAATTTAGGAAAAGACTATAAACAAAACTATCCTAAGCTATAAGTTAGGCAACAGAATATTTACAATAACTAAGGATATATTATACTAATATATCCTTAACAATAACTATACAATGTACTTTTAAAAATATACTAAGTTATAAAATACGGAGTAACAAAAACCAAAACAAAAAAAAAAATAACAATGACATCATATATTGTTTTGGCGGGAAAATTTTTAATGATAGTTTGACATGTGTCAAAAATGATGTAAGCATGTTCTGGTTTAGTATTAGTTATTAGAAGATTATATATTTTTAACTAATTTAGAAATATAACTAAAGTAACAACTGCTAACACCATACCCTATTTAAATTGTACACATGTCAAGTTGTGGCCTCGTAAAAAAATTTCCCACCTAAATTAATTGCTGACATCATATTCTTATTTTTATTTTTACTTATTTTTTGAAGCCTTCTTATGTTTTACTTTAAATTATTAAATTATATATACGGAGTTTTTTTTTTAAGACAATTATTATATTATGTTTTTTTTTAATACATTGTTATGGATTTATAAAAAAAAGTTATTTGGCTTCCAAACATAATTACTCCCGGCTTAAGAGTACTCCTTATTATATAATTTAGTTAAATTTTTACTATGTTCAAAATTATTTAGATTTAGATAACACTGCAATTAATGGTTATGTTTCTATATTTTTTTCTCATATATATGAGGTACATATATAAAATATATTTATTTCAAAGAAATTTTTTATGTCGTGCATCGCACGGGGCTAATTCAATTTATAACTGTAGATTACCGTGCATGGTAGTATGGCACGGAATCTAACCTAATTAGATAATCAAATTGGTGATACTTTAGGAAGAGAAGTAAAAAGTTTGGAATATATCTGTAAATTTTCTTATGCATGCTATTATGAAAAAAAAAAAAAATGGTCATTATTTAATCCCTTGTCAACCTAAATATTTTTAAAGACATGTTTTATACAGAATGTTTCGCTTTCTATATAACGCAACTTGATATTTTGACCGATCTTTCTATGCATCTAGGTGGAAAATGAATAATGCTCCAAAGATAAAAACGAGTACACATTGCTTTGTAGATAAGCAATGAATGGTGGTGGTAGCTAATTTAGGCGTATATTTCCTTTTGCAAATGAAGTGAACCCAGCAAATCTAGACCTAAGTAGATGGTCCATTGTGACCATGCAAAAGGAGCTACGGTGAATGGTATATATATGCACCTTTGCTTTTTAAAGTGTAAAGAAATGTTTGATTACAACATCCACAAAAACCCAAACTACATGAAATGAAATGGTCAAATGGATGTTACAAGCAAAAATGGTAACCAATATACTGTATGATTGCTTAAGTTTAGTCGCATCACTCTTTTTTTAAGGTATTGTAGAAGCTAGGTGCTCTACTGCATCGAAACCTCAATAGAGATTAATATAATTCACCTTATATTAGCGTTTAATCTAATTTTCGTAGGAGTGAGGACATTAAGAAAATTAAATTTCTACCTCTAATTGTCTCTAATGAAAATAAGATCCGTATTTTGAAATTAATTATGAAACACAACTCTTATCAATAGACCAAGTATTACTCTTATCAAGTCAAAATATGAGACAAGAGAATAGATGGATATGGGCCGACCTATGCAAAAGTGCAAAATTATTAACTACTTGCATTTGTTCTTCAAAGGTAATCACGAGCGTGGATAACAACATCCAATAGAATGAATAGACCAATTAGAGTGAATAGACCAATATTCACACGAGACAAAAGTAGAAGAAAATGAATAAAGGTATGGGAGAAAGAAAAATACGGAGTAAAAATTATGTAGCAAGACTCAACTACAATTATGAGCATAAATCTTTTAAGCCATTTAGCTGATATGAAATTTAGGACTACTTTATTACTAGGTATGGATTTACCTGAGTTGTTTTTGCACATGTGAATGCGCGAGTATTAAACGAGTCACATGACATTTTCGTAAATAAACCAACAACTTTATTCAAATGTAGAGCCACAATAATAAAAAATAAAAAAAAAATTGTTGATTTATTCACGAAAATTTCCCTATGAGAAATAAATTTCGTTTCTCACCATGAAAAATAGGGAATTTCCCGTATTAAACTTTGAATGTATCGAATGGGTTATAGTAACTCAATATGATATCTACAAAGTAGGTAGCCACCAATAAATTTTTATAAATTTGTAAACTATTATTTGGATCCTATTAATGAGACAATCGAATGTAACCTACAACGAATGGATATTCATCTAGCAAGGCTCACCCCTCATGGATCTTAAAGAATTATGACTACACATGTGGCATTTGCACGGTGTTGCAAAAAGACATTCCTAATCTCTAACTTGTATCTTACTTTTTTTTTTTAAAAAGTATGTACTACATATCAAGATACAAAGTACTCCGCATATACTAATTAACAAATACACTTATAGCCAAAAATGTCATTTTTTTTTTTCACCGGTGTAAACACCTACATAAATTACAACCTTAATAAAGGAAATTTTTTATTGTGTAACATATAGCCAAATAGCCAATGGCCCAATAAGGTTCGAAATACCAAAACAAACCCCAAATGACACTTTACATAATTTGGATTTTTTCAATCACATAATTGAGATTGAAACAAGCATTCGCTTGTATTGGTTGCAACCTGTAAAATATGAGGTAATACAGTTTCAATTGTCTAATAATTAAAAATAAATAAATCCAAAATCTTGAAAAGATTACCTCCAATATTCTATGAGATTCTAATAGTATAAATACCACTTACTACTCTACTCATTTTTCATATCTCAACCCAAACACAATAGAAAAAAAAAAAATCATCAATGAAGATAATCTCAACTTTCTTTTTTCTCTTCGTTTTCCTCCTACCAATTCTAGCTTCCTCCTCTAATAAACAGGTTCGTCGCGATAACGATTAAACCGATAGCTCTCGACCCGTGCCATAGTATGGGTCTAGGGTTTTGATACCTAGCATATATGTATATAAGATGTTATGGACTTGTGCTTTTTGTTCAAATTTTAGTATTGGGTACATTTTTTATTTTTATAATATGATATGATATAATGACAGGTTTATATTGTATACTTTGGAGTGCATAAAGGAGATAAAGAATCATATGAAATTGAAGAAATTCATCACTCTTACTTATCCTCTGTCAAGGAAACAGAGGAAGAGGCCAGAGCATCTATGCTTTATAGTTACAAGCATAGTATTAATGGCTTTGCTGCTACACTTACCCCTGCTCAAGCCTCCAATTTATCGAGTACGCAATTTGTTCCTTATGCATGTCCTCTTTTATTTGCTCGTTTTTCGACTCTAAAAGTCACATTCAAAATTTGTTTAATTGGATTCTAGGAAATATTTCATATCATTATAATTAGTGTGATAGCAGAATATAATTAATGTGTATGGTAATTAGAATGGATAATCATGATTTATCACGATTACTTTGAAATGAAATATCTGGTCACAATTAAGTGGAGAAAATATAGCTATTATTACTGATTTTATTCAACAGAAACTTTTTGCATTGTCAAACGTGATAAAAGAAAAATGTCATCTATTTTAAAACAAAAAAAGATATCATGAATTTGATTTTAATAAGATCACTGATTTGAATACTATTAGAGTTTTTTTTTTTAAAAAAAATAAATAAATAAATAGCTTTAATCCTATTAGTATTTAATTGTTTTGGTATAATACACTATGTGAAGATCTATAATTTTAGCAAAATAATGAATTTGTGTTTCTATCATTATAGAATTAGATGAAGTGGTATCGGTGTTTGAAAGCCATCCAATGAAGCACAAAATGCACACAACAAGATCATGGCAATTCGTAGGCCTGGAGGAAGAAATCAATACACAGTTGCACTTCCAATCGGAGAATAGTGAAGGTTTGCTATCAAGAGCCAAGTATGGACACAATGTCATTGTTGGCGTCTTAGATAGTGGTAAGCTCTTATCATTTTCTCTAAAATTAATAATCACGTTAATAGTATAAATTGATTTGATATAGTGTGACTTTTTTTTTTCCTTATATACTTGGAAATTGGAATCAAATATTGCATGGATATAATGATTGCAACATGCAATCCGAAAAGAATCACAAGACATCCATGGACTTTCCTTTATGGTCTTCTTCAAATGAAGAGAATAAAACTAGCCGAAATGAATGAGAATAAAAGTTTTAGGACCTATCTTTTAATAGTTGTTCATCTTTTTCGGAAAGAGATTATGCTATATCCAAAACTACTACGGAGTAATAAAGAAAATTCATTTCGTATTCTTTTTCTCCAAGCCAAGAAATATAATGTAACATGACTTATTTTTAGCATCTAGTTTGGAAAAGGAAAAAAAATAATCCAAAATACGTTTCTTCTAATTT